AATGGGGCCAGCCATTATGCAAAAAATTGAATGGGTCACTCACAACACTAATATTATTAATATAAATCCATTGACAATATCTTAACAAACTACCAATCAAAAGAATTTACATTTATCATTTTCAGTTTTATGTTCGTATTATATTTCTCCCAAGTGTTACACAGCAATGATTTTTGTACCTACAAAGCAATGGAATATTCCAACTACCCCTTATAGCCACACATCAGTTGCATACCACACATGAGCGTGTATGCAACTTTGTTGCGTCTACAACGGTCATTGGAGTGGCAAGGAAAGTGCCTGGTAATTGCCTACCGCATGCAGGAGTTAGGTGTATGTGAATATCTTGCGCCCGCTGTAATAACTATTTAAAATGGGCAATTTGAATCACATGTTTTGCATGTCAGCAGAGAGTTGATCAAGCTGTTGCTCTCCCTGGCAAAGTAATGCACAATAAGACATGCTAAAAACAATGAACTCACAAAAACTCAGCTAGCATGGTGTCGCAATGGATGCAGTATATGCTCAATGAGTAAGGAGATTCTTTAGATTCTCAACCTGAATAGAAATTCAACTTAGCAGATCCAAATGAAAGTGATGGCTAAAAAGACTCTGACATCATTTAAACCACTGTGAACATTTTCTCCTATTTGCTAAATAAAGTTTTCTTATGTGCTTACTTTGAACGGAAACAGAAGTATTTGAAAATAATGTACAATGTAATAGAAGGTTGATAACTTTCTGGTACTTTGTGAGAAATTGTAATTAGCAAACTGAAAGTTTTTTTTTTCATGCTATTCTATTCAAGCCTGCAGAACAATCACTACAAATATGAAAGAACACCAGTAAAAACAATGTGGGAAATTCATCATAAGTGACATACTTTCTGACCCAATATTGTAATGTATCCTGTTAAGTGTACAGATCCTAGTATTCTGCCGATAATACAGATATTCACACTGAGATGAATATATCACCTCTACTTACAAAATTTAAAGCATGGTGGTCGTTGCGCAGCGTGTGTTCGAATTTCATGTAAATAAACAATCTATTTTACACATGTTGTATACCCCGCTATGAGTCCCATATTAAACAGGACGCGGCGTGACGACTGCCGCCCTTTAATATATCAATAAGTAACTTGACCTTGTAACTGACTGCACACTTACTTTATTTTTTCAGGCGAGAAATGCAGAAAAAGCAATGTAAGTATTTTATTTACTTTTTTTAGTAAACATCATGTATATTAATGAGCTCATGAATATTAATGAGCTGATAAATAATAATGTATGACTACACATATCAAAAATGTATC